GGTAGCATAGTGCCTAAGGCACTTGACTGCTCACCAGAAGGCTGGCGGTTCAAACCCACCAGCCACTCCTCGGAAGGAAGGTTGCGCAATCCTACTTCCGTAGTGATACTGCCTTGGAAACCCAAGGAGGGGTTGCTGTGAGTCGGGGCTGACTTGACAGCAAAATAACAACAACAACAATCTTCCTTGTTAGAGATAAGGGAATTGATCAGACCAATGTGACATGGATTCACTGGTTGCCTTCAAACATTTCAGAAGCTCTCATACACTAACAGAGGAAGACACATTCTTCGGTGCTCCAGAGAGGAGAAATAAAGCTAATAGGTAAAAGTGGAAGGGAGACAGATTTCACCAACGTAAAGAAGAACTTTGTGATAGTTAGAGCTGTCTTATAATACAAGTCGGAATGGACTTGATGGCAGTGGGTTTCATTTGGTTATAATGAAATGGAACTCATAATGCAGGTAGTGACTTGTCCTGAAAGTATTCAATTAGGTCAGGGTTTTTCAGCCTTGACACTATTGGCATTGTGGGCAGATGATTCATTGTTGTCCTGGACTGCCCTGTGCACTGTATGGTATTTAGCAGGACCCGTGGCCTCCACCCACTACAGGTGAGTAGCAATCACTCCTCCCCCATTGGGACAACCAGAATATCTCCAGACATTGCTGAATGTCCTCCCCTGGGGTGAGGGGCAAAATCACTCTTGGTTGAGAACCATTGAGCCAGAGGCCACATGACAGGAACTTGTAAGGTGGTCAACTCCAGCCTATTCAAAACTGTGTTTTTAGCACATTTGTCCCAGGAAGTCTACGTGTGACTTTGTGCTTTGGGAACGCACCTGCCACCTTGGATTAAAAGCTTAACACATGTGAAATTATGAGGTTCAGTTTATGGCATAGAGACAACTGAAGTAGCTGCTTAGAAGGCCTTCTGTGGTTGGATTAATGATTTTTTGCTCTTTTTTTGTTTTCCCCATAAATTGTGGTAAAACACACCTAACGATGAATCCATCATTATAACCATTTTCAAGTATACAGTATTCCACGACATTTAGTACATTCACAAGGTTGTGCAACCACCACTTCTGTCTAATTCCAGAATATTGTTTATCACCCCAGAAGTAAGCCCCATTCCCTTCTCCCCTCAGCCCCCTGCGACCACAGAGCTGCTTTCTGTCTCTAAAAAAACAGAACTGATTGCCATCGAGCGGATTCTGACTCACAGCAACTGCCGTCGGGTTCCCACGGCTGTAAATCTTAATGGAAGCAGACTGCCTCATCTTTTGTCCATAAGCAGCTGATGGATTTGAACCACCAACCTTTTGATTAGCAGCCAAATGCCTTAACCATACACCACCAGAGCTCCTTCTATAGATTTGCCTATTCTGGATAGTCCATAGAAGTAGAATCATAAAATATTTGTCCTTTTGTGTCTGGCTTCTTTCACTTAGCATGCTGTGTTCAAGGTTCACCCTGCTATAGCACGCATCAGTGTTCGTTCCTTTTTGTGGCTGAATTGTATTCCATTGTGTGTCCTCATTGTGGTTCTGCAGGTCATGTTAGCAGCTTCTTATTGGTCCCTGCTGGCCCCAGCGGTTGAGATGGCCATGTCCTCTGGAGGCTTTGGTGCCTTTGCCTTCTTTCCTGTGGCTGTTGGCTTCACCGTCGGAGCTGCTTTCGTCTACTTGGCTGACCTGCTGATGCCTCACCTGGTGAGTACTGTGCTTCTGTGGAGTCTTGTTTCAGGATTTTTCTAGCTTTCTGGATTGATTTATTTCAGTTCAAACCTGATCTTCCTGGTCTTGTCACTGTTAGGTAGCCATTGATGTCTAAACAGATATTTTAAGCTGTTTCAGGGCTTTTATTTAGCAGAATTAAATTGTGGTATCTTCCTTAAAGAGAAGAATCTCCTGGTAATATGACTAATCATAACCTTATTTACATTTTGGTAAGTTCAGATTTTGAATGTCAGGTTTCATTATAAATAGAGCTGACGTTGTGCTGTGTGACATGATGCATATGAGTGGGCCTATAACTGGAGAAAAGACCATTGATCATGATCCTGACCTTTCATGAGTTTATGATATAATCAGAGAAATGACAACACACCCAACTACAGCCTAAGACCATTGACAAAACTCCACACAGGCTCCTAAGATTGTGAGGGGGGAATCCTGGACTGAGTTTGAGCTCAGATCTGCCATTTACTGGTTGTGTGTCCCTTAACTCCACTTTTCCTTCCTGAAATTTAAGAATGACATCCATTACCCCTTCTAATTTTATCATTCTAAGGGAAGAGTAGGTAAAAATTGAGCCAGAAGATGATGAGGAGCTTCAAAGTACAAAGACAAAACAAAACGAAATGGCCCTAATATTGGAGAGAGAGAGAGCCAGAAATTTGGATCCTTTGCTGACATAGGTCTCATGGTTGGGTTAGGGAATGATTCTGTGCTTGCTTATAGAGAAGCATATTAGGCATAGCAGTGGGGCCAAAGCCAGGCCACATGACAGTAACTGAATGCCATGGGCTACAACTCTGTTATCAGTAGAGGAGTGAGGTTAATGCCAATAAGAACCCAGGACAAGCATCCATGCTGTGCCAGCCACTGAGTCCCTACAAGTTCTAGAGGTAGACAGAAGTTCTTGTGACAGCCTGACATGTACTTGAATCTCCTGCTCACCCAGAGAGGGAGGAAGCCCAGGGAGGACTGTATGGTGGAGAATGGGACCCAAGGCTGTTTCTTCTTTTGAGTCATGGTGAAGTAGGATTAGGTTAGGCTGTCTGGTGCCAATAAGACATGTGCCCCAGGAGGCAGGTTGAAGAAGTGGTCTTTCTGGTTTACCTGCCTTCTTTCTTGCCTTAAATTCCCTGGGAATTTGGCCTTCAGGTCTTGGGGCTAATGAGATGTGGGCCCAGACCCTTGGAGTGGGTTGCCCCAACTTGAGATACCAAATAAAATTCAGGTAGTGATTATCCCTAGTCCAGAAAGATTGTCCTCTGGACTACATGGCTGGATTACATGGCTTGGAGGGAGAGCCACGATAGTGTCTTAGAGGAAAGACCACGTGTCATCAGGCGCTTGAATGGCCATGTCTCTTTCTCCCTCTGGGCACTTCACTTCCTTGGTGTCCTGTTTATCTACATGGTCATAGCTTTGAGGAGTCCTCTTGTGGACTGCTGTATTCTACCCGGTTATGTCTGAGCTTGCTGTTGGGGTGTATTCTACATGCTCTGCAAAGAAGAGCATGTGGCCAGTGTCTTTAATTCCTGAACAGTGGACAGGGCAGCTGAGTGAGTCTGCACAGCCAAGTCTCATTCTGCTGTTCTGGTTGGACAACTCGCCCCACCCCGTTCTTATGTGTAGATAGGAATCACCTGGGGATGTTGTTAAAATGAACATTCTGATTCAAGTATATGGGGGGGGGGGCAAAGGCCAGTTCTCAGCAGGGGGTTCCCAGCCTGGTTTCTAAGACAGTGTCTTGGTGAGGGCTCTCTGCAGTCACTGTGGTCACGGCTGATTGGTCCTGGGAGTGGTGCTCAGGTGTGTTTGATCAGCTGTCTGAATGTGGCAGCTTTCTCTGGGCAGTGTAAATAATAATTGGCCAATCTGTACTATGTATCAGCACTTTTTTTTTTTTTTTAACCTTTGGTTCATGTTTGTTCTTATATATGCTTTGGATATGGAGATGTCCCGGGGGAACGTCCTAGGTAGATGGCACAGAGAGCAGGAACCATTTGGGAGTACATACGGGGTGAGCGCCTAGGGCTTGGCAAGGGGCCCATGAGCACCAGCACCTCACTCCTTACCCTCATTCGCAGAAAGATCAGCCTGACATGACACATCTGTTCGAGCACAATGGAAAAGAAATGAATTCTTGCTCTTGATATGAGAAAGGGAATTTGCCTTAGAAGGTCTTATAAATAGATGAGAATTATTATTTATAATTGGTATGGTCACTAAATGCAAATGTCACTGTAAGAGGCATGCTTAGATACAATTTTCCAACCTTCACTCTTGGGCAGGCTAAAGTTTTCCCTTGGTTTCACTATTAATTTGCTTACTGAACCCAAAAAGGGCAGCAGCTTGAATCTACCGTATTTTCTGTGTGGCGTCTGAGTTAATGGGCTTTGACCTTGAGTTCGTGTGGTTGTTCATCATAGATTAAGCTCCTACAGGGAATAGAGTCTTTTTGAGGGGATGGAGTGAGAGGGCTGATATTTTGTTTCAGGAGGCTCACTGCTCTTGGAATTTCTGAACCCTTGAGGCTATAGAAAGTTCTGGAGCAAATCCAGCCTGAGATCTTTTAGTTCGCAATTTGTTCCGCCTCTGACAAAGCCCCATGCTCAGCAGGTGGCTGAAGGAGCAGGGTGAAGTAGGTGCAATAAAAGATTTGGGGTGCAATGTGGACAGAAGAGCTCTCACAGCACCCCTAGAGGATAGGCCTGGGGAAAAGGGGGACCTGGCTGTGGAAAACCCCAGTGTCCCCTTTCTTTGTGTCCTGTGGGGGCAGTGCTCAGAGTTCAGGGGGGTGAAAGGAAGTGAGAGTCTGAAATAAACAAATCCAGCAGTCCAGTAAGGGCAGAGATGTGCTTTGGTTTTTCTGAACCAATGCCCTACTTGGAGCCCTTGGCCATGACCATTCAAGTCCAGGTTTCAATGCTTGAACTCCAGAGCTGCTGACCCTAGTTATAGATATTCAGGATGGTGGGGGTGGGGGTCAGGGCTGATCAACAGGACTCTTGGGTCAGTGAGAAGGAAATGGTTGATGATAGACCCTATTCTCAGACTCCATTTCTGTCGGCCAGTCTTTCAGGTTTATTTTTCCTCCTTTTGGAGCTGAAGCAAAATATTGCTCATGGAAAGAAAGGGTTTTACTCACAACAGCTTGTCAGGTTGAAGGCATTGTGGTTTTGTTCACTCCAGATGCGTCAAGACGCTCTCTGAACTGGGTGCTCATTTTCAGGCTGTGATTTGGGAATATAGTAGAGGAGGCGTGTGCTGGAGCTGTTAATGGGAAGCATGCTGACAGGGATTTACAGAGACTTTGCCAAATGGTATTAATGAAAGGGTCAAGGAAATAGGAAGATGAGCCAGGAATTGTGACCTGCTGGACCTAGGAAGGAGCTCTGGTGGTGGAGTGCCTAAGGCATTTGACTGCTAACCAGAAGGCTGGTGGTTCAAACCCACCAGCCACTCCTCAGAAGGAAGATGGGGTAATCTAGCCTCAGAAACCCAAGGTGGGGTTGCTATGAGTCAGATTCTACTTGATGGCAGTGAGTTTTGTTTTGTTTTTTTTTTTTTTGGACCTAGAAAAAGAGCCAGTGAGGAGCCAAAAAGCCAGTCACCGTTGAGTTGATTCTGACTCATGGTGTCCCCATGTGTGTCGGAGTCAAACTGCTCCATAGGGTTTTCAGTGGCCGAGAACTTTCGGAAAGAGACCACCTGGCCTTTCTTCACAGGTGGCCCTGGGTGGATTTGAACTGCCAGTCTTTTGGTTAGTGGCTGAGCTCTCAACTTTTTGTACCACCTAGGGACTCCAAGGAGGGGACACCGTGGGAGATGCTGCTTGGGCCAGTCCAAGGCCAGTATCGCTTTTAGTATTGCCTTGGGAGTACCAGAAGGGGCATTGAACAGCTGTTTGAAGATACTGACATTTTCTGATCTTTGCAGGTTTGCTTCTATATGAAGTTAAAGGATGTGAGTAGGTGGGAAGTCTGTACCTTCAGTGTAAAGCAGTGGTTTTCTATAGGTGGGTGGGGAAGGGGAGGGAGGGGCGGAGTGTCCCAAGTCTTATGTCTTTCTTTTCACTCATAGGAGCATCAATACATTCACATTATTATTATTATTATTATTAAAGTGAAAGTCCCTGCCCTATTCCCATCCCTTCCCCAGAGGTCAACCAGTCAACATTGTTATTGGTTTAGTGGATATCCATCCTTCCAGAGTTTTCTTTTCTGTGTTTTTTTTTTTTTAAATGCAGGAAACTGATTTTATTGTGTTTTTGAAGTATTGCAATGTAGACACTTGCTCATTTCCTTGTAGTGTTTGGGTATGCTTTACATCAACTTCATCATAGTAAGAACCCTATCTAGATCTCTCTGTACTTACAGCCTTGGTAGTGCAGTGGTTCAAGTGATGGACTGCTAATCAGCAGGTCAGCAGTTGGAACATACCAGCTGCTCTGCGGGAGATGGACGTGGCAGAGTGATTCTGTAAAGACTGCCAACTTTGGAAACCCATGGGGCAGTTCTACGCTATCCTCTAAGGGCGCTTTGAGTCAGAATCCACGCCATCACAGTGGGATTGGTTTGGGTTTTGCTTCTGTAAAGATTACAGCCTTGGAAACTCTATGGAGGCAGTTCTACTCTGTCCTCTAGGGGTGCTGTGAGCAGCAGTTGAGTTGATGGCAGTGGATTTGGTTTTGGGTTTCTCTTTACTTATATATGAACATGCATACATTTTTTACACAGTTAAACTCAGTCTGTGCTTTCTCTGTTATTTTTAAGTTAAAAATGATTTTACCTACTGTC